TTTTAAGTAATTTAAAAATTTTATAAAAAGAGATTTATTCTGTAGAGATTTAAAAGAAGACATTATTTTATGTTTAGTTACAATAATAAAAAATAATTATTAATTAGTTATTTTTAATTTTTATGATATTTTCCTTATTTTTGTTTTATAAAAATGATTTATTGTTATATTATTTTAAAATTTTATGATATCTTTATGTATCTTACCTCTTTATAACTCTCTCTCTCATCTACCATATTAGATTGTCTTCAGAAGTTATTCAAAGTAGCTTCTTAAAATAATAAAAAATATGCTCTTTTTTATTTTGATTATTTTTAAAAGTTTAAATAAACATCATAAAAACTCACAAAATAATTTTTTTTCAAAACATAAGTAATTCTTTCATGAAACAAGCTAAAACAAACGAGCCCTTAACCATGCTATCCTTTTAATTTATTATTCTTTTGTTTAAATAATATTACTAATTTATTAAAATTATAATCATCATTTAAATAATAATTATTAGAGATCAAGTTTTTAGCATTGTAGATTAAATAATTAATCATGTTAATTTTTAACATCAAAATATATTTAACTTTTTATAATTTTTATCCAACATATCAAATTTTATATTTTATACTTTCATTATTTAATATATTAAATTTTATGTTATTTAAAATTTTTATTAACTAAAAAAAGGTTAGTCTAGTTGGTTAAAATTTTTTAAATAAAAAATTTATCATATATATTTTGGATGATGTTAATTTTAAATATTATTAGAAAGCAAGTTTTTAGCATTGAAGATTGAATAATTAGTCATATATATTTTATTATTTAATATAATAATTATTTAAATAATAATAATTATTATTAGAGATCAAGTTTTTAGTATTGTGGATTGAATAATTAATCATGTTAATTTTTAATATTGATATATATTCAACTCTTTATATAATTTTTGTCCAATATATTAAATTTTATATTTTATTCTTTTGTTATTTAATATATCAAATTTTATGTCATTTAAATTTTTTATTAATCAACAAAGGTTTATCCAATTGGTTAAAGTTTTTTTGAATAAAAAATTTATCACACATATATATATTGAATCATGTTAATTTTTTATATTAACGGATTTAAAATATTTATTACATAATTTTTTCAATATATCAAACTTTATATCTTTTATTTTTATTATTTAACATATCAAATTTTATGTCATTTAAAATTTTTATTCCAATTTTTAAACATTTTAAGTATATTATATTTGTATAATAAAAATTATAAATTATTATAACTTAATGTATTTTTTAGTAATTGTACATTCAAAACTACATTTTACTATTATAATTTAAACAACTTTCAATTTACAAAATCTATTTTTTAAAAAATATATCTAAATATAAATTTTATAGCAATAATTGACATTTTACTAAACTAACTTTTATCAAATAAACTTTTGACTGATTGACTTTTAGCTAATAGAAAACCAAACACACAAATTTTCTACCTCTATCACCCTATAACTAACACGCCATTTTATTTATTGTTTGTGAACCCTACATTAGTTTTTTCAAATATTTTTATTATAAAATATTAGGTTAAAGGTTAGTTTTTTATCTCAACTTTACTCTGAAGGGTTAGTAAGCACTTTAAATTCAAATATTTTATAATAAAAAAATATTAAAAAAATATGAGACTTACTAATGGTGAACATATGGCAAGTTAATGATAGGGTAATGAGAAAGAGAATATTTAATATTGAGAGACAGAATTAACTTATAATTGAGTTTAGGATGTTTAGTAACTTTTTTAATAAAGTTGAGAAGCAAAAATTACCTTTAATCCTAAATTTATCTAGGTTTAATCAAATGATGACATTATCTCTAACCATAGAATGGCATTGTATTTAATATTTATATGCACAGCTTTACATATTTTATTTTATTCCAAAATAAAATTTAAAGAGAAATTTTATTAAAAAATGACAGTTAGGTCTTAAAATATTGAATTAATCCTAGTTAAATCCCTGACAAAATTTTTTACAAAATAAATTATAAATATCAATTCAAATAGTTATAAATAGAAATTTTTATTACAATTTAAAAGCTACATTTGATATTTAAATACTTATTTTATAATTAAAACTCTTGGTTTTGTAATAATTTGCATTAATATTTTTAACTTATTTTTTTTAAAAAATTCAGGGACTTACGTAACATTAATTTAAAATTTTGAGATCTAACTATCATCCTCCCTTAAAATTTGAACTTTTTGAAGCATAGTATGCATAAATTCAATAGACAAAATTAATTAATATAAAATGTAAATTACTTGAAGGAATATTCATGTGTAAAAAAGAGATTTGAATTTGATCAGTAATTTAAATTTGTTTACTTAATGAGTATTTCAATTATAACAACTTGATTTTATCAATGTTAGAAAATTTTTAAAATACATTTTCCTCTAAAAATTCAAATTAATCCTCACCATTAAAGCACTCTAAATATATGATGTCTCCAAAAATTTGAGATTTGATATTTTGTTAGTACTATATAATAAAATCTCTTACACCCATTTAATTGAATACAATAATTATTACCATATCACATATGAAATATTTATTGAATAAATGAATTTGGGTGCCACAGCATTTAGATCCAAGAGCTGAGAACTGAGTTGCTTCCCTCCCTCTCCATTTTCTTAGGTAAGGGGGTTTTCGTTCCTCATTTTTGCTCCTCAGGACGACGTCGTTTGAATGGTCACCAACCCTGCCCGGTACGGACAACAACTCATATTTTTTTTTTTTTATAGGAAACGCAAGCAATTCATTAATTCAACAAAATATCCAGAAATTGATTATGACATCTTTTGGCTATTATTTGAATCTTTTCAGAGTGGGATCGCTTAATTTCATGTGTAGATAAATTAATATTTTCACTCATTTACTAGCTCAATAATCAATTAAATACTTTTAATTTTTATGACCAACCTTCTCTTTTTTGTTCATGATAGTAAAAATAAGTCTAGTCATTGTAACCTAAAAACTTTTATATCCTTTCTAGATTAATGTTCTCTTTTACATTCAAAAATGAAAAATCATAATTTTATTTCTTCCAATTTTCTCAAATTTTACTTAAGATTTTTTCTTTTTTTTTAGTGTTATAAATTTTTGTATTTTTATTTTTTAATGTTTTAGATTTCTTCATAAACTGTGTTATGAAGAAAGTATAGAGATTTATAAGAAAATTTGAGCAAAATATAAGAAATAAAGTTATGTTTTTATTTCAAAAAAAAAAATCTGACTCTCCCTTATCTTTCACGGGTCTTTTTAACAATATATTGTAAACAGTAAAAAAACTATCGAAATACTGAATCGCGAAAAACATTTACTAAAATGCTACACCAAAAATCATTTAGATTGAAAACAAGTTTGTGATTATGAAAAAATCATTCAAGATAAAAATGATTTTATAAGCAAAAATTATTTTTTTCTTTAATGAAAAGTGAAATCAACTTTTTAATTTATATGACATTTTATTCATTGTCAACTGTGAGCATCTCTACTTTTCCTTCTTGCTTTGTTTTCCCCGCGTAATTCATTTAAATATGGAATAAATGACTACTTACTATTGTTAATGCTCCTTTGGTACTTGACAAGTTTTATAGAATAACTGAGTACATGCAATGGTATTGAAAACATAAATAACAATGAATCCAACGTATTATTAGTGATACTAGGCATATGGTAAGTTTTTCACCTTTTTTCTACTAGTATCATTAAGCAAGAGTAGGAGAGTTGAAAAATGATGATGATGAGGGTAGTACGTAATGAGGCTTAAATTGAATAGGATTGGGAGAAGTAAAAAGGGGTAATGATAATGATAAGCTAGCATGTAATAGGATTGATTAAAATTTTGAGGCTCTTGTTTTTCTACATTTTCATTTTCAATTGGTGGTTGGATAGATAAATAGCCATCACATCACTTGCTCAGTCTATCTCGATAAATTTGTAAATGAGACAACTCAATTATTGATAGAGCATGCTAAGGGTCTCTATTAAATTGTTGTCCTCTCATTACAAGTAAGATGTTGCATCGGTCGTGAATAACCCTATCTCGATAATCAATACAATGAGAGCATTTTGAACAAGAATTAATCGTTAACTAATATAAATCATTTGTTATGTCAGCTTAAAATAAACAATAAAATGTTTTTAGATTATAATAATTTTTTATAAAAGAAAAAAGATGGTACAAGTGAAAGAAGGTAAAAAACTTACCACATACCCAATATCACTACTAATACGTTGGGTCCATTATTAAGTATGTCTTCAATATTATTGCATATACTTAGATGTTCTATCAAACTCTTCGAATGTTAGAGGAGCATTAATAATAATAAGTGGCCATCTATCCCATACTTAAATGAATCACATGGAAAAAGTAAAGCAAGAAGAAAAATTAAAGATTCTTACAATTGATAGTAAATAAAATATTATATCAATAAAAAAGTTAAAATCATTCACCTATTAATTTTACTTCTCATTAAATAAAAAAATAATTTTTAATTATAAAATTATTTTTGACCTGAATAATTTTTTTATAGCTATAAACTCATTTTTAGTTTGAATAATTTTTGATGTAATATTTAAATAAATAATTTTTATGGTGCAGTATTTCCATTTTTTTTTAATTGTTTGCGGCATACTGGTAAAAAGGCCGGCCAATACTCTTCCTTCTTCCTTTAAGGCTCCGTTTGGTTCGGGGGGAGGGGAGGGGAGGGGCTCCTCTTCCCTCCCCTCATTTGGTTAGGAGGAGGGGAGCCCCTCCCCTCCCCTCCCCTCATTTGGTTAGGAGGAGGGGAGGAGAAATTTTTAAAATTTTCCCTCCCCTCCCCTCCAAAGCCTCCCCTCCAAATTGGGGGGGAGCTCCCCTCCCCTCCCTTCCCCCTCCTCCCCCTCCCTTCCCTTCCCTCCTCTCCCCTCACCTCCCCTCCCCTCCCCTTCCCTCCCCTCGAACCAAACAGACCCTAATTGGCATCTTTCCCAAATCCCAACCCACACAAAAAGGTCCCTGCCTTTCTCCTCTCCTCACCTCTCTTTATACCCTGAAATCTTGAGCACCATGTCAATGGCAACTTCGCATCACACTAATTTTCTCCAAAACCCTAATCGCCCCCTCAAGAACCCTGCCACGCAAAACAACGTTTTTCCCGTTACCTCCGCGCGCACTATCAAGAACGCCCCAATCAGACCTGTTTCGATCAAATGCGCAGCCCCAACTGCCACTCAAATCCAGGATCTTTCTCGGGGTCAGACCCAATCCCAAGATCGGGTCTTCAACTTCGCCGCTGGACCGGCGACGCTACCGGAGAACGTACTCCTAAGAGCTCAGTCGGAGCTCTACGACTGGCGCGGATGCGGCATGAGCGTCATGGAGATGAGCCACAGAGGGAAGGAGTTTCTGTCCATAGTCCAGAAGGCGGAAGCAGATCTGCGTGCCCTATTGGAGATTCCGCCGGAATATGCTGTTCTGTTCTTGCAAGGTGGCGCCACCACCCAGTTCGCCGCGGTGCCGTTGAACCTCTGCAAGCAGGACGATCGCGTGGATTATTTGGTCACTGGGTCGTGGGGCGACAAGGCCTTCAAGGAGGCCCAGAAGTACTGCAAGCCCAATGTGATTTGGTCTGGTAAATCAGAGAAGTACACGAAGATTCCATCTTGTGATGGGTTGGAGCAGAACCCGCTGGCAAGGTATCTGCATATATGTGCGAACGAGACGATTCACGGAGTGGAGTTCAAGGATTATCCCGTCCCAAAGAATCCAAATGGTATTTTGGTCGCAGATATGTCTTCAAATTTCTGTTCAAAGCCGGTGGATGTGTCCAAATTTGGTGTGATCTATGCTGGAGCACAGAAGAATGTAGGGCCGTCCGGTGTGACGATTGTGATCATCAGGAAAGATCTGATAGGGAATGCTCAGGATGTGACTCCTGTGATGCTTGATTACAATGTACAGGCTGAGAACAGCTCGTTGTACAATACTCCTCCTTGTTATGGCATTTACATGTGCGGGTTGGTCTTCGAGGACCTGTTGGATCAAGGGGGTCTGAAGGAGGTCGAGAAGAAGAACAAGAAGAAGGCTGAACTTCTGTACGATGCCATTGATGGTAGCAACGGATTCTACAGATGCCCAGTTGAGAAGTCTGTGAGGTCGTTGATGAATGTTCCGTTTACACTGGAGAAATCGGACTTGGAGGCTGACTTTATTAAGGAGGCAGTTAAGCAGAAGATGGTTCAACTCAAGGGACACAGGTCGGTGGGTGGTATGAGAGCTTCCATATACAATGCCATGCCTTTGGCCGGAGTTGAGAAGTTGGTGGCCTTTATGAAGGATTTCCAGGCGAGGCATGCGTAGGCTGTCATTTCTTCCCAGTATGTTTTGTCTTCTTTTTCCTCTCTAGTGTGTCGTCTTTTGTTTGTAGGTTTATTGTACTTTCCCCATCTTCTGGGATGATTTGAATTTCGGCATTGACGAAATCGTGTTGGTTTTGGTTGGGTCATTAGTCAGCTGTAGATCCTCTACCACGTTTGTTCGGTGGATGTAAAGTACAAACGTATTCAACTCGAATAAAGTAAATGAGCATGAAAGACAAAAATCATCCTCCATGAAGGAAGAGGGGTCCATTTATTTGAGAGCCCTGAACCCTAAATAAACAAGCATTTTTCCACAAAAATAACTAGAGTCAGAAATTTATGATTGAAATCTTTGGTGAACACATGAAATCTAGAGTGAATCGTTGAACCAAACCATTTATAGTTCGTAAAATAATAAATAAATTTATAAATAGTATGATTTGATATGAATTTTATAATTAAGGGAAAATGTTACTTTTGGTGTACTTTAAATTTTAATATAAATTTTTGCATTTTATTTTTCAATTGCCTACACTTTCCTCTATCAAATACATTGATCTTTACATTTTTAGATGGTTGTTGACCTGGTATAAATAATATTAATAATGTTGATATGTCAATTAATATTATTAATTTTTTATTTACATGTTAAATTGATGTTAACATAAAATTTTTAATAGGCAAATATTAAAAAAAAAGAGAACCTATATAGATGCAATAAAAAAGTTGGTTTGCACTTTTTAAATATTCAGTAAAGTGCACAAATTTTATGTATAGGCTTTTCTTTTTAAATTTTTACTTATTAAAAATTTCATATCATTATCACGTAACCACAAAATTAATAATGTTAATTAACATGCCAGTATAATAAACACTGTTTGTGTTACATCAATATCCCTTTAAAAATATAAAGATTAATATTGCAGATACAGAGAAATGTAATAACTTAATGTAGTGAGAGAAAAAAAATACAAAAATTAATAATAAAATTTTAAAACTCAAGTAACATGTAAGAGTCAAAAGTAATGTGTCTTACAGTTTATAACTTGGCAATGTCTTGCACTTACACGCACCCAAAAAAAGCGACTTCTTTAGCGCTTATAAATAGTGTACATTGATGATGATTATATCATTGTATTTGACATAGGTAATCACCAGTCAGGACTACCAGAAGACCTTAATAAAGTTCAGAATTCTATTTATGAACATTTCTTAAATGTGTAGGAAGAAAATGAACAAGTAAGGTGCTGAAATGATCAAAACACTGTTTTAACTGGACCCAGCAATGATAATATAGTAATATACAGTCGCCATCAATCAGAACGCAGCAAACATTATTTACTTCAATTAACAAAATAATAACAATTCATGTCCACTAAAAACAAGATAATCATACGATTTCTTACATTTGCATGGGTACCCGTACACGTCACACGGAGAGCTCCCATTCCTTTGGTATTGACGTATTGATGATTAATACAACAAAAAGAAACCAAAACTGTCTCGTTATACTTTTCGACTCGACGGTGAAAATTAAATTCTAAAGGTTGCTTCTTCCGCGGGTTCTTCCTCCATCTTCATTGTCCTGATATGTGTAGTATAACATTATCCTCCATGTCTTCCTTCACAGCTTCCAATCTTTATAAAACAAATGATGGCCGTATTTTACAATATCGATTTACTGAGTCAAACCTGCTTTCTCTGAAACAGCTTGTAACGCAAACTGATACTCCTGCCGCTGGATGGCAGGAGCAGACCTTCTCAGGGCAACCACAAAACAAAAAAAACAAAAAACAAAAAAAACCTCTAGCATTCCCACTTGTGCCCTATGAAAATGAGAATCGTGAGAAAAGAGATAGGCCAGATCCCGAAGAATCACTTCCTGGACTTGGCGGAACTTCTGTTGAACTGCGATATGCTTGCTGACACTTCTGCATCTGCACTTTCATTTGAATTATAGTGAGTTGTTCTCTTTTCTTTCATCAATATTGCACATCTTCTGGCTTAGCACAAACTAATTTTACTTACTTTATTAATCATTAATGGATTTATCGCACAGTTAATAGCATGAGTGGAAACTGAGCTTTTCAGAGAAAAGGGGCCCATAGCAGGCTATTCCAAGAACAATTTCTTTACATGCATGATGCGGAATATTTTCAGAAATTAAGGACCATCTAATTTAATGCAACAGAAATATTTGAACTTCATCTTAAGAGAGACAGATACAGTTTTTTCAACTGTGACATTAGTTCCTCGTTTCGGTGCGATGCCTCATAATGAGCCTACAAGCATCCCTTGGAGTTAAAGTTAATGAGAATCGTCTGTACAAAGTATATTGCATTACGTCGAGTGCATCTCGTTGCTTTGCAAATGTTCAATAACAACCCCCCCCAAATTTGAAAAAAAAAAAAAAAACGCCTTCCTTCATATCTTTTCCTGTGGGGAAAATTAGAGTAACGGGCTGGTTGAGCGTAACTCATCAACTACTCGCGCGACCAATTGATTCAAATCATGGACCTATACTTTAACTAATTAACTTTGACCTTCCCTTCCCTTAACAACTTATGCTTTCGAGTTGTAGTGGTCCTTGACAAGGTACTAGAGTCTCTATAACTAAGAGGTCAGGAGTTTGATCTTTGTTACCCTTCATTTTCTTAATTGAAAATTTATGTTTCAACCCAAGGTATATATATGGACCTCTATTTCATTCACACTTAAAGCTCAAAGGGTTTTCATGTAAGAGCTCAGAGGGTTTTCTTGGAAGAAGACATGTTAGAGATTATAATAAAATCATCATGAACCTCACACTTAACACCTTAAACTTTTGAATTGAAGTGATCCTGGATAATAACACACTTGTGGTTAATGGGTCATTGAGCATAAATATCATACTCGCCTAGTTTTTAAAATTAACTCAGATTTCTGCATCTCCTACCCTCACCACACAATTCCATGGGGATGGGAAATAAAACATAAGATGACGATATTACCTCTTCTGGACTAAACTGAAGCAGCATTGCAATGACCGGCAATAGTGCCTCCACTTCACCTGTTCAAGCCAGTTAACCACACGAATCATACTCTGCTGCTCGATACTCATTCAAAAAATTTTAATAAGGCCAGCGAAAAGAGCTCTTCACTTTAATATACCAATACCAACCTGTCTCAAGAAGCTTCAAAATGACATTTTTCAAGTAAGTCATATCTACTCCCTCCCTCTTTTTTGATCTTTCCATGCTACGAAGTTCCGCTTTCAACATTGCCTCCTATAGTCATGATATGTGGTAATTCATGAGAAAAAGAAGAAAAAAATTATAATGGCAAGAGTTGCATAATATGAAGCGCAAATAAAAAAAATACGATAGAGTCATATAGGTACAACACAACAGCAGCATGGATACCATGAATAATTGGGAAAATAGTATAAGCTAAGACTACCGTGAACTCATTAGATGATAAAAATTAACTGCTAGGATTGGCCTGTTTGTCCCTTCATTCTACAGAACAATGAAAAACTGTTGACCTTCACACACATCATTAGTTCGCAGGATTGGCATGTCTACAGAAAACCATGAACCCCAAATGTGAAGTCCCTACAGTTAGAGGCCAGACTATGAATTACAGGCTGCACATTTGGAAGCTGCCATTAGCAGCACGATTGGCACTCTGGTCTGTCCTTAAACATTTAAATTCAAAGTATTTTTCCCCCAGAGAATCCATACACATGTAAAGTCCCATTATAAACTTTAGTGTTCAAGGAACATGGTCAAACAATCCGAAGAAACCAAATACGATAATTATTTAATGGCTATTGGCCTTGTACCGCCATATATTTCGTTCCTCCACAAAGACACAACATAGATCTCCAAAAATGTAAACACTCTATTACCTGTTGACTATGGAGACGATTTTCACGTTCAAGTTCTTCAATTTCTTCCTGCATTTAAATGCAGTATTGAAGTTTAATTTAAAAGAAATAGCAAAGAGTAATATCCTAATGGGGGCCTGACATACTTGAAGTGCCAAGATATGCCGCTGTGATCGTGCCAGCTCTTCCTCTCTTTGGGCTTGTTGTCTAGCCAGAAGCTGAAATTATAAAATTTAGCATTTTAAAAAAGAAAACTACAAGAAGAAGCAAGAATGGGTCCTCGAAGTATAATGCCGATGCAATATATACAATTAAAAGCTTGTTCATCCGAGATCTCAAACTCATGCCAAAAAAGGTGGTCTCACTTTTACCACTCCTCCAATCACCCACCAGCTGCCACCCATAAAAAGACAAGTCACTGCTCTATCCCACTTGTTCTGTTCTTCTGACAAAAGGTACAAGGGTTTCAACATTTGGGCAACTACTTCAGTTGCTGTATCTTCTCTCTCATGCCAGATCAAAGTACACAACTTAAATATGTGATATCTAAAATACCACTGCGCTAAAGGGTTTGGATACAGGATAGTTTACATGCAGCCATGCATGCCACCATATAATCTAAAGAAACAACCACACTACATTATGCAGTAAATGGAATTAAGTTGAAAATTTAGAAAGAATGCCATACCAGAATTTGCTGTTCTGCAGATGGGGGGCTTAAGTTCAGTGTATCCCCACCATTATGCAAGGCTGAAGAGAAATGAACTGTCAGTAATAACCCCCAAGTTGCAATAACAACTTGCAGTAAGATCAATGAAACTCTCCATGCTGACAAAGTGTGTCACCCGATAAATAAATTAATACCTGTGCTATAATAACCATATTGATCCTCCTGAAGTCATTTGTGACAATAAAACAAATCGGTAAGATCATAAAGTAACAGTATAGATCAATGCAATATGCTGAACAAGCAAATAAAGAGAACACACCAATGAGCTAAATTGCTGGGACTGATGAAGATTATTGTTATCATCTAAAAGTCTAGATATTTCATTGTCTTTCTCCTGAATCATTCTATCAGCAAGATCACGAAAAGAATCATGCTCTTCCTACAAATTATAGATCCAGTAAGCACAAGAAAAGAAGAAACAAACGACAAAATTTGAAGGGGGCGTGCCCCAGCAGAGTCAACAATTTGCAAACCACCTTCAATTTTTTGTACTTTTGTTTGATCTCTTCAAGTTCCTTTTGTAGTTTTATATCATGTGCCAAAGACCCTTCAGTTTCAGCCTTCATTGCGTCATATTTAACTGGGGAAAAAATCAATTCAACTTAACCTTCTAGAGTCATCTCAAACAGGTAATGGAAATGACAATTGAATGTAGAAGTGACTATTTGACCAAGCACAAGTCATTACTTCGCCATGTTTCTTCAACATTTTGAAGGCTGAGTCCCCATGCTTCTTTCTCTTTTAGGTGCTGAGCATTAGCAGAATCAAGTTTCATTTCTAAGCCCCTTATTTTCTCCATGACATTTTTAAGTGCTGTGTCTCTGAAACATATTATAAGAGATCGTGACTGCTCTGCACTTCAAAACAGAAAAGGCAACTGCTATTTCATATTTCAATGTTATGTCCCTAACCATAACGCAATCAATCAAATAAAGCAAGGGTCCCTACTACTTCTGTTATCATCTTTTGCTTTCAACTAAGATGCTCATCATCTGTTTAATATTCATAGAAAGTATTATGATATGGTAATTAATCATGTTATAGGAAAATTAGTTAGTGATTGTGAATAACATAGCTGTTACCACAATGTGTGAGGAGGAGTTCTCTGTATCGTTTAAATTTTCTGATGTTAACAAACCCCTTAATTTTCTATTCATTCTCTCTTCTACAATCCCCTTCTGCGCCTTCTATGTATATATCTGTTTATCTTCTTTTCTCCTACCAGTCTACATTCTTTTTCAAATCATATTAGGTAAACAAGCCCATTATAATTAATCAATAGCAACGACACCTTTCTGTGAGCTCTTTCTCATGATTTTTTGCTGCATCTTGAAGATCTTGAAGAGCTCTATCCCTTTCTTCTGTCATTGATAACACTTCACTTTCAGCCTCCTGTGGGAAATTAAGATTTTGATTATTAAACAGCTTAAAACATTTTCAATAATCAAACTATTTCTTCTCCATAAAAAATGTCCTAAGAATTTACTTTCAAAGCTTCCTCAAGAGCTTTAAGTTGATCAGAGTCTTTGGCTGCTGCCAGTTCTGCATCCTTCTTTTGAAGAAGTGAGTGAGCACGAACCTTGTAGGAAGAAAATTCATTCTCGAGATGGCTGATCTAAATTTGTAAAACGACAAAGGAATTAGATAAATGAAGCTACACCAGAACATTGACAAAGGCACAAAACATTGCATTATGGAGCAGCCATACTATGCTGTATCAAGTAACCAATGCATATGCAACAAGTCCATGGGACTGACCGGTGACTGTTCAACAAACATGCAAGAACATCGATGGAGTTCAAGGCATATGTCCATGAACAGTTTTCAAACAAAGCAGTAAAGAAAAAAAATCCAAGGTTTCTCTCTCAAAGTATATAACAACCTTATTTCTGCCCAGCCCTATAGATACCCCCCCCCCCAAAAAAAAAAGAACTCTTGGTACAAACAAGTCATACCAGATTCAGCTTTTTTTTCTTAGCTTAAATTTTCTATTGAAAGAATAAGGGAAGATAGAATAGAACCTCTTCCTTGGCAGACAACAATTCTGCATCTCTCATATTAAGAATCCTGGTTTGTGCAGATACTTCAGATTCCAGCTGACCTGGCCAACACAAAAGCATAAATATCCTTCATAAAGATAATTATAAGAAAGCTCATGCAAGGATATATTTGTACTTCTCATTTTTGCTACTTCAATTTCAGCATGTATGCAGTTGCTCTCTGCAACTTCAAGTTTTGCTTTAAGTATCTGAACTGCAGTCGCCCAACTTTCCTTTTCTTTCTCCTGAAGATAAATTATGCCATGAAATTTAAGTAATCATTTAACCAAATAAAAAGAAAAAGTACAGTAACAATACAACTGGGCATTTATATATGTCCATTTTAAATTTACTTAAAGACACCACAAGGCAGGGTAAATCAACTTGTTTTTCTATTGCAGTATAAAACAGCAGAAGGAAAAAAGTTCAAACATCCTCAGCAAGATAAAACCAAATCAAAATCTAACCAATTGATTCTTATTTTTTACTTGTTAGTCATGCAATTCGGTTATCCAACTTCAGACAGACAAGTCTGTCCATAATAGATAACTCTATCCCTGATTGTACAAGCATATTGGTTGGATCTGGGTCAACTTGACTGAGGCCCATCTGCTAGTTTAACCTAACCCTAATAGGATTTATTGTTAGTATCTTTATCTTATTAGAAAAATATTTTACAGATTTATAGGGATTTTAGAATCAGATTATCTCGCTGTTATCTTTTCTAGTTATTAGAGCAGAGTTGATACGATATCATCATATCTTCGCTCTTCTATAGGTATGCTCTTCATTCTTAATGGATTGCAAAACCCAAGAACTAAGTAAACGCTTATGAGAGGAGAAAAGAATGCATTGTTAGGATAAACATGATTATATCTCTAGTCAATGACATGCCCCCCCCAAAACATGAAACCACAGAAGTAAGATAAGTCTATTAGCCTAAGACATTATAATTAGTAGGTAGAATAGGTAAAACCATTTAAGGAATACAAAATAGAACAAAGAATACTCTTGCTATTGGAGAGGACTTGGATGCTAAGATGATGTAGTAAAACAGTATTACACATTCTAAAAGTTAGACCATACATGCTCCTGTTTCAGGTGAGAAAGTTCTCCCTTCACAGTTTCAACAGCTGCTCTAAGTCTAGCAGCTTCCCCAGTTGATGCTGCCTCCATCTCAGCAATCTTAGATTCTTTCTCTGCAACTAGCACCTGAGATCGGATTAAGAATAGTCAAGGCCATCAATTGGAAATTTTTACCATATACAGGAGCGCATGATAAAATATATAAAATAATGAAAAGTAGCAGGTAAATCAATCTACAAAACACTTGTCATTCTTCCAATTTAAATTAAAAGCATCATAGTTTATTCAAAGTGCTTACCAGACAATAAGATAATTCAATCAATTGTTACCAACAAAATGGATCGACACACTCTCAACTTAAAATATCTGGAAATTGAGAAAAATGTCGGTTAAATATACAATAAAAGAGAACATATTTTACACAAACACAATCTGTGCTGAAGCCCTTAGGGAAACTGCAGCTAAGGAAAGGGAAACGGACATTGAATTCCCATATTTGATACACAGACTTTCCAATTCCAATAGAAGCATCAAATTGATGGAATCAGCTCTACCGCACACCTTTTATGAATTTGAGATGACTTCTGGGAAAGCTACGTAAGATGACTGTTTTGCCCAACAACTTGGTGAACCCTAATCATGAAATAGTTCCTGGTTCATGCAAAAGGGGAACAGAGCTTTGGATGCTGATGAAGCTTCTAAAGCAAACCACTTAACAACCCCTCACCCACAGATGCTCTCTCCCTCAACCAGCTACAGAGGAAACCCACTCCCCCTCATCGCTCTCTCCGTCCATCAATGGAAACCCCCTCAGCTTTCATTGATCTCCCCCTTCATGATGAGGCTGATGGTGTCAATGATGAGTTCACAGCACACAAGAATCAGCCACTTGTCGATGGTGCTTGAAGAAGGATTTTTTTTAATATTATATGATACAAAATTATTTTATTAATCAAGAGGGTATTTTTTGGGAAGAATGACAGATGGGTCCCAAGAGGACCAATTAATTCAAAAAAGGTCCCAAGTGCCCAACTCTGGGACTTTTGCAAGTTCGTCTCTTATTTTTGCAACTTCGTTGTGATAAATTTACAACTTATTTTTTAAATTTTAAGATGATTGAAGAATAAACAAATTTGTTTTCCCTCTAAAAATTTGGAACGCAAGTTGTAAATTCATTATAATAAAATGGCAAAATTGAGAGCCGAAGTTGCAAATTCCTGTAGTTTGACACTTGGAACCTAATCTGAATTAATTGGTTCCTTTGGGACATATCTGTCATTATCCCTATTTTTTGCCTTTTGATAACCTAAAAATTCCATCCATTATTCAAACACATTAAACCAAGTTTATCACAATATTCCACCAGTTTTTCTTGCATACCAAACATTTTCTGGCACAAAAGTTCCACTTCAATTCAGGCCCAGTCCGTTTCCTTTTCTTCTCATTTCTTCAAAAATCCTTCTAGTGTACCAGACATGGCCACAAGGTAATGCTGCAAGTTTTTCTTAGACATATTCATCTTTTGGAAATAGTGCTTCACAAACCATTCCCGAATCATAACCAAATAATGGATTTGGTTGTAGGTATCTATGTGATGGAACCCTCTATGCTGATAAGCTTTAACCAATCAAAAACCAGAAAATATGGGGACTGAAGATACTATTGCTGAATGATGAAATTGGATTACAAGAAGATAATGAATCAAGCTAACGCCATCTGCCTCGTACATCCATAAACAACAACATAAAACATAAACCACTCACTAGCACACACTAAAACATAAGCATAAAAATGATGAGGAAAGATGATCTTCCTCCATCCCAACCTGGCATTCGAGAGGCTAGAACTTTCCTCACCAATCACCACTCTCAATTTTCAAAAGACTCCACACCTCTCCCTCTGCATGAAAGTGCAGATTTAAGAGGTCAAAAAGTAGTCATTTCCCCTATCAATACTACCCATATCTCAGGCTACACCTAACCTAACTTTTCTTTGATTATTTTAATCTTACAGTTATAAACCTTGGGGTAAACCTCTTGACCACTGGTCTTAGTCTTCTCTAAATCACCTCCCTTCCTAATTTGTCTACTATAGGCCTTAGGAAATGACATCCAAATCTTTTGGGAATCACTAGCTCTATCACTCTCAATTAGCCATCAATCTCAACCAATCAAAACACGTTAACTATCCAGACACCAGAAGAGTCCAGCCAGCATTTAGCCAGATAAAAGATTCCAAGACCCATTCACAACATTGATAATAACCATATTTAAAAAAGTTTCAAACTCATCTTAGAGTATATGCACAATTCATAAGGAAACCCAGAAATGAAAGATATTCAGTTTTGTTATGACACAGAAAGCAAATTCAGACTAGATTCCATGTGGTCAATAAAGCTGAGTTGTCATTTAAGCAACCGACCACAAAAAGTTTTACCGGAAATTTGAAGCACCTGAAAACCTAATCTACACCTTTTCAATCTGCAAAGATTCACTCACTTCTATACCAAAACGCACTTATTCTTGGGTCAAGAGAGAAGTATCATTACAAACAGATGAAAAATAAAAGGACTAAAGATCCTAAATGTCGGCCAGAGGTACAGCAGGAGATGCAGAGGAGGCGACTTAGAATTTCCACATGGTCAAAAGCATCACAAAAGGATGCCTTGAGAAGAAAATTTTTTAGAAAAAGAAAAAGAAAAATTGCCTAGCATCATGGAAAAAAATCCATTGCGGGACCAAATTATCTGTTGTGTATTTGTAATTGGGAAAAAGTGCAAAAGGGAGGGAATCAGAGAGAGAAAAATAGTGGAGACGAGAGGGAAATAGAAAGAACAGAGGGATAGACACAGAACATAGAGGGGAAAAGAAATTCAATTCTTCAACAAAAGTCCAGATATCCCCGTTACAGTGGCCCTTACACCATATATGGCCAAGCTGTTGGATTACTAATATTCTACCGGTCAATTAATCCCTTTTACTAACTATCCAACTAATTGCCTAACTACCTCTCTTCTAATTACGATAACATATATAATTATCATATTAAAATGAAGGGTCAAGAAGAAAAAGAAATGTCCAAGAAAAATAGGATCTCTAAATCAGTTTAATTTGAGGCTTAAAACATTCAAATTAACCAAGCTAAATTTTAACCAACCACCAGTCTCCAAGTCAAATCCACCTGAAGGAGTCTGGTTACTTAGCCCTATGAGGGAAGAGAAAGGGCAATGCAACTTCAGTAGTACAAGCATGCAAATCTTCAGAAATATCAGAAACTATGCACCACAAATGTTATTTTCCACTCAGTATCTATTTCTTTTCCATAGACAATGTTCAGAAGATAAAAAAAGTTCATAATCAAAAAATTCACCTGCAGGGAGGAAATAGTTTCAGCCGCTTTATTTCTATCAGATATAGCATCATTAAGTTGAGCTTCCAAACTCTCCATATTCTGGTGAAAACAGGCACCAAATTGAAGCGAAAGCAAAAACGATATATGAAATACACAGTGAACAGTATGACATGGAAGTTCAACCACAAAGGAAAGGAGGAACAAGATTTGAGAAATCTAAAGCACATGTACCTTTTGATGTTTAGCAGCAAGCTCAGTCAGTGCAGCTTGCCTCTTTTCATCAGCTGCCTGAAGCAAACCTCTCAAATCTTCTATCATCTGAATTCTCATTTTGTTTTTTCGTTTTTTGGAAATCCAAAGAACAGAATAGTCATCATATTAATAGACATTAGATATAATTCCAAATCGGCATGAGTGCATCATTAAGTTTCTGGACACAACCCTCAATGCAGAGATAAATTACAATATAGAAAAGGAAGAAAACTACAGGAGAGACAGCAAAGTCACTAAAAATCCATCAATACAGAAGTTAGGTAAGCTCGCAAGATAGGTTTTTATAAATTTTCTTGGTCATCCCATGGGAAAAACATAAAAGATCCAAACCAAGCAATAAGATCATTGATGCAGTTGTAACTTTGTCAGAACATGTAATCCAGATTTCATCATCAGGTTCAAATGAGTCAATCAAGATTGGCCTAATGGTGATCATAGAATTAGTTAAATATCTCTTTAACTGGATAAAAAGAAGGGGAAAAAGTGAGTGCATTAATTTTTAAAATCCTAATACATAGGCTTATACCAACCAATAACTACATATACAATTTTCATCAATTGAATCAAGGAAGTATAAATAAATCTGCTGTTCACCTTCCATGCCAAATTGTATAAAATAAAAATCAGTTAATATTTAACCAAATAATTGATATTTGTTCATATAGATTACTATGTTTTATGTTAAGGTATAAAAGATGGTTGAAAAATAAATAGATTACGCAAGCTTGAAATTCAACTGTTGGTCCATGCAATACTCATCCGCGTATAATTACCCACAAGTGTAAGATTGATCATGTTCTACATGGGACCAGTGGACCTTGAACTATATATGTATGGATACATTGTATTAATATATTTGACCAACCATTAGTTAGGTTATCCTACAGTCGTACACATCCATCTCTATGCAATCAATCTTTCCAAGATAATTACAGTAACCCACAGTCCACCATAACATTGCAAAGGGGGTACAAAAGTTGGTTTACACGAAACAAATGGAGACCTAAATCAAATAAAAGTTTTTACTAGTTAAGAATAAATAGGCTATACGTACCTGTTCCTTTTCTGCAAGTGACTGTTGCAATGCTTCAAGGGCACTCTCTTTTGGTAGCAATGAACGCCGCAAATCCTCAATGGTATCGCGAAGTCTGGATGACACAGATTTTTACATTTACAATATTACAAGGTATACAAGACTACAAATTTTACTTTATGTCTATAAATCAAGCATGAACTCTATTCAAATATTCCATTACACCAAAGATTTTGAGATTGATCTTCAAGGAGATAATTTACCCAAAGAATGCTATCTAATGTTTCCTATAGTGCTCATTCTGTTATGATAAGGGTAGTTTAAATTTTCACCGCAGAGGGGAAAATGTGATAGGAGCATAAGCAGTATATTCTGGAACCTCTCATCAACCCCTACCACCTCGAGATGTCCAAAAAAAAAAAATTGGAGAGAATGAGGATTCTCCCATTTCAGAATTAAAACAAAGGGCTAATTCAGTCATGAAAGCATTCAAGCATGCAGGAACAAGAAATGGAATAAATTATGGGAAGCCGTTGTAATGTGACCCCTGCAGTGCTAATTACTGCAAAATAACGTATTACATAAGTTAACTACAGTATCATATTACACAAAGTCATCACATGTGTAAAGTGAATATACTCATCAATCAGCAAAATGAAGAGTAATATAGTGGTTATACTTGTTATTTGCACTTCTTAGTTGCTGTCTATCCCCATCCACGGCCTTCAATGCCTCATTTGCTTGCTGCCTTGTGCACTCTAACTCTTGCTGCAATGACAATTGCTGGGCTGATGCTTGCTCAGCCTTTTCATTCACCTCACGCAATTGGAACTCAAGATCATCTTTTTCCTAAGTACAATGTTTCCCGACCAACAATTTGGACTCAGATTCTACATTAATATGAAAGAAAATTTCAAGGAAATTCTTCTGTTGAAGCACTCAACTAGCAATGATAAACTAATTTCAAGATGAATTTTCATAGAATCACATTTGAATTATGATTGCAGCATGATCATTAGAAAGACAGTACATTTTCAATATAAAAAATCATTAATAAAACATAGCAAGGTAAAACAGAAAATGTCAACAAAATTCGGAAACTAGAAAAGAAAAATAGCAGGTGTTCACCTTCTGAACCTCCTGAATACGCTGTTTTGCTCGTTTGTGAAGCCTGTTAAATTTTGTATCAAGTTCAGCATACTTTTCTTCACGCTCTTTTATTTCTTGATCCAACTTCTTTTCAGCTACAAAAAGAAGATATATAATATATTAATACAATCAGTCATCAATATATATATATAAGCTGTAGGAAGCTGTATTATTCACAAGTTGTGAACAATGGGGCACATCTCAAACCCTGTGCAAACGCACAAGGCCCACTTTAATTATACTAACAGATCTAAATCACTCTAGAGAGATAGTTTCCTTTTTCCTATATGATAGCAGCGAACACAAAGCAATTTTTCCATATCTTCTTGATTCTAGAGTCTAGAAACTTCAAGGAGAGAAAATCAAGTTTCTTCATTTATATAATAAAATGCATTTCAATGTTTTAATGATGCATATTTTGTAAGTTTATCAATGACCTTTAATAAAACCAGACCTTCAGCAAGCTTTTCAGACAACTCTTGAGTTTTTGTATCTGCCTCTGAGTATGCCAATTGAAGATGCTTTAGAGTGTCTTCGGCTGCACCTCTCGTTTGTTTTTCATCTAGAAGTTCTTTATTTAATGCTTGCATCTTTCCCTGCAATTCTTCAATGATATCAGATTCATCTTCTGCCAGGCCACTAACTTTATTCCCCAGACTAGAGTCGCTATGTACACTGTTTAGAATGTTAAAGCCCTCAAACTGAGACTTCAAAAAATCATTCTGAAATCTAAGTTCAAAAGCCATTTGTAGAAGCTGATCATTGGGATCAACTTGGCAACGGTGGTCATCAGATAAGCCATTTTCTAAAACAAGATTTCCATAGCTTCCATGATTGTGATGATTCCTGTATGAGAACTGCTCCTCAGGCTTAAGAGAATCTCCTTCATGACTTTCCATAATTCCACCAATATCACCTTTACTTGTTGCCACTGGCTGCTAGTTTCTGCAAATTTCCTCCGTGTCCAGCACTTTGACAGCCATGAACCAACTGCTACAAATTCATAATCCCAGTATATTCGCAGGTTAAGTATTAAAAGAAAATGGAGAGAACGGCAAAGAAACCAGGCAAACCAATGCAGCCAACTATCTTCATGAATAACATATCATAAACTTACCTCATAACTGCATATTTTGATCTATCAGTGATTACTGATAAGAAGACAACAACAACAAAAACTAATACTACCACTTGGTCCACTAGAAAGCGTCAGTTTTGATCTACAATTACTATTTTTGTCTATTAAAAACCCCTTAAACATCATTTTTTACGTCAACCGTGAACACCAAAACTGAACATTAATAAATCCCAACATTGCAGTTTCCCCTGATAATTTGTAACTTTGAATTGTTTTCATCACAAAAAATATGAGTTATGTAATCAACCGTAGTCTTGGATGTTACCAAAAACAGCGCTCAGTTTCATAAGGAAAACTTGTAAACAGCGCACTATTTTGTTATCTTCTGGCATGCGAACTGAAAGTTATAAAATTGTAAATCATATCGCGCCCTGTAAGGATATCAATTAGGAGGAACATTGAAGAATAAAGGCATCAGAAGTCACAGTACCTAGTAATTCTATAGCCAAAGTGTGGAGAAGCAGAGCTACAAAACCAAGAGGATTTATCAATTATGCAAGACTTCGTCGATTCAAACGGGAGACGCTATTGCAGGGGGAGTGAAGCGTGGAGAAATGGAGGAGGTCAGGTGAGATCGCCGGTGGAGGATCGGATCTAACGCCACAGTTGAAGCGCAAGCAAGAAAAGAAAAACGATGCCGTTTCCAGGGGCTCAGTGCTCGCACATTTCCCCGAGCATGCGTTTGGACTTGGGACTTCGGATCCTCGCCATTCTTTATATGGGTCATTCCGGTGGTTATTTTCGCGTTTGGATCGTCTGTGGTGGGAATGATGGAGTGCGCTGAAGCGTGGCAATCCCAGCCGTTGGAAGAATTTACGACATTTTAGATCAGCCTTGTATTTTTACAGGTGTGGCATTTTTCATTTTTTTTGGAAAAAATGAGGACATAGTGTCTTACAGCTGGATATTTAAAAAAGAAAAATTATGACAGAAAAAGGAATTCATTGGCTATTGATGGTAAGTTTCACTATTTAGACAAGCTGAATTGCTTGAGAAAATGAACTACATCTTATGTGTAGCAATCCATCATACGGTCGGCCAAATTACAATTTTCTTAGTGAACTTTAATCAGCAAACTACCCAATCCATGCATTTGATCTGGTTTGCCCACAAATTCAAGGATCCAAACTAGAATTGCACATACGCATGCAAGTTCGAAAGATTCTAGATCTCTGCGGTGAACATGCCTGATAAGGAATCTGCAAAGCTCCTAAGAGTTTTACAAAATTTGAGCTCCATAGCAGGTAACTTCCTTTTTCTTGAACTTTGTTATTCTAATCTTCTATCTTTCTTATGCTAAAATAATGTTAAATGAAATGTCTACTCTAAGGTAAAGTATCATGTTATTCTTCTCTTCATTTGTCTTAGTTATTCTTTGTTCCTGAAAAGCCTTGAAGCATGCATTCTTGAGAAAAACCTAATTGACCTTAAGATTCTTTGATTACATGCATGTGAGAAAAGTGGAAAGATCCATGTAGCTTGCTTTCTCTTGCACCATTGAAGATGAAGAAGGAAGAAGATCCCTTCATAGTCTTGAAATCTCTTGTCTAGAATTAACTCAATATACATGTTAATGATCCAGTTAACGATACCTATAGAGGAAATTTCATAAGTTCTAATAATACGCGAGCCATACCAAATGGCTATTATGAAAGGGCAACCACAAAATAAGTGTTCTAAAGATTCTTCATTATCACATCCAAAAACACAATGTATTGATGTTGGAACATGGTGATGTAATAGAATATCCCCTATTAGAATGGCTTTATGAACCAAATTCCATATGAAAAGCATGGTTTTATATGGAAGATTAAGTTTTCAAAGTAACGGCCAGAAATTTATATTTTGGAGGTTAGATGACACAATGTTCACAGAGAACAAATAATTGTAGCCTTCTTTAATAACGTAGGAAGAATTTTTCCAACAAGCCTATCCTTAGGATCACTGTATGATAAAAGAACCTGAAGAATTTGATGAGCAATCAAAGGATGATAGAGCTCATAAAGTAGAGTAGAATTTCACCTAACCTTTTGTCAAGGAATGTGAGAGGGAATGATAAAATTCAAAACATTACTAGGTTGCCTATGAAGTTGAGCTGAATTAGCTATAGGTCTCTACCATTTGCAATGATTGAGAGGGATAAGAGTGTCGTTACCTACCTGCCATGCTAACTGAGGTAATGGTGTCAGCATAATTAATGATACCCTTCCAAAACCAGCTTGCATTGTAATTTATAGTATGTTAAACCTTGATTTTAATGATTATAAAATAAATAAATGCTTATTTTGCAGATAACTCTGTGTTTGAAAATTTACGAAAGGTTGGACCGTTAGCTTAAATCTTTGATTCTCATCCTGAACTATCCTTCCTCTTTTTAAGCCTCGAGACAAGTTTTGCAATTCTCATTGAACAAGATCAATTTGTATTTAAAGTGGATCAAATTTCTTTAGGGCAAATAGCAATCAAAGACCCTTATATAAAATTTATATCAATCAAGAATAAATAATTATCGAAACTTAAATGAAAAACAAGCTGAATGAATTGTTGTTAATTAAATATTGTCGAGAAAAAATTAATTTTGTGTTCCGTATTATGATTTGTGATATTCATTAAACTATGTTGAAGAATATATTTTCCCCTATTTTTATTGGTTTTAGAATTTTTTTTTAAAGGAGGTCTTATATTTGCTGAAAGGTTCTTCCAGAGTCATATCAGTAAAAGGCAAAATCTTGTGGAAGAGAACTTAAAATTCAAGCATCAATTTGCTTATACTTAATAATAGATGAAGATTCAACATGGGCCTGCCACTGACTTGTATAAGAACTTGACAACCTGGCTGCCTCTTTCACATACAAGAGCAAAATTGTTCTCTTGTTCAGTAAGATAATATTAAAATTCAACAGAAAATGTCCACCACAAAGAGTTACTTTCAAAATGACTGAAAGGCTTCATTGGATTGGAAAACTTGATATCTTTCCTCAAAAACCATAGGCTAGGAAAAGAGGCTTGGAGGCTGACAACATTTTGCTCAAAGCCTCAACTACAGGCATGAGCTCCACTAGTGCAAGGACTTCGACATCCCAGCAACATAATGTACATTTACAATTCATCAATTGACATCAGGAATCCAAGTTATGATTTGAAATAACTATTCTAGCAGACAATTTTCCAAATGCAATGGTGTTTTCCTCCATTCTAAGGCAATAAGCTGGCATTTGAATAGACAAATGAGATCTATGCTACCAAATCACTCAAGTGCTTACATCATTTCTATCTGGATCCTCCTAAAAATTTTTAGCCCATTTATAAGAAATAATCAAATCCTGGGTAGATCTGATTTAGACAATGGAAAAGAATCACCACGAGTACTATGACTGGATTGGATCATAAGTCAAGAATTTAAGTTTTCTTTATTTTTTCCCCTTTCGGTAACAAGAGAATTTAAGTTTTCTAGTCCTAGTAAAGTTTTCTTTATTCAATGAAGATAGCTAACTAGTAGACTTTCCATCTCTGTAGTGAGCAGCTACGTGATTGAAATAATCTTTTGTAGCATATGCATGACTACAAGAATAAAAATGATGTAAGAGACACAAAGACACACATGTACACAAAAAATGCATTAGCCATCAACTCCTCTACAAAAGCTAACTTGAGAACAGAGACCACTGTTAGAGAACCAGAGCAGGATACTCAAATTTACTACTGACCAGTGTTCTATGTAGTTTGAAAACAACGTTACTGATAAAGTTAGGAGTCAGTTTTTAAATCTGTTGGGACCTTTTGGAACAAGAAACTCAACGATGAGAGATGAATTTCCGAAAGTTAAAGCTTGCTGATATAGAATCAATACAAGAAAGGGGAGAAATAAAATAAAAGAGGAGATAGAGAGAGAAACATAGAGGGAGAAAACAATTACTGATATTTTCTTCAGTTTCTTCTGCCTTTCTCTTAAAAGTCTACGACCAAGGATTAATGTAGGAAACTAAAAGCACATGCTGAAAATAGCAACATGGTATTGTGTTCAACAAATAGGAGGAGGAGAATTTTATGGAGAAAGGAGGGAAGAGATCATAGTGATCCTTCCAAATCCACCCACTTTTGGGAGGGAGGGAAAACTCATTAAAAGTTTCATTCCACTCCCCTTGCATTTTTTTTAACCAAACAAGGGCTCCCCTTCATTTGTTTAACCAAACACGAGGATCCCTCCTCTCCAAATTTCTTCAACCGAACACACTATAAAAGAAACTAGCAATCAAGAGTACTGGAGTTTAGCCTTAATTGATCACTTGATTTATGATTTACAAAAAGTCACCTATGCCACTAACCCATATTACTCAAAAGGCACATTTCCTAATAAACACCAATGTTTTCTTGTTGAAGAAAATTCAACCTCAAAGCTTTAAAGTGTGGAAACAGTAAAGAAAGTCCTATTTGAAACAGTAATAGGGGAACAGGCCATAATGGAAAAAATGGTAACAAAAGCAAATTCACAATCATCATGGATGCTAAATGGGCAATCTAGGGAATTCTTAATTCTACTATTAGCATGGATTGGGGTTAGGCTCATACCACTTGATGTAGAAACAATATGGAAGAGGGGATGTAATAAAGGGAAATAGATAGAAAGGAGGAGAAGACAGGAAGAAAACAACTATATTTAATCCTATAACCAGTCCCTTTGAAACTCTACAACCAAGAAAGAAAAAATGATAAAGAATGTTCCTAATTTAAGCCTTCATTGATTACTTAATTCTTGTTTTACAGATAAGTAACCACAACTATATTACTCCCAGTATTCTTTTTCCATTCCACTTGTTCACTCAAAGGTTACTTACCATGTTTCATGGTTAAAGATGGGTCGAGCTCATGTAGATATCCAATAACATTTGCTGGTATTCCTGCCACAATGCTTCAAAAAAAAAAAAAATGATACCACTTCTTACCACAAAACAATTCAGGCAGAAGCCAATCTCTGCAAGCTTGCAAGTACCAAACATCATTTAAAAAGAATTAATTTAGACCTATGAGGAGAGACCTCTTTCAACAATAGAGAGCATGCAGCTATAATTGCACCTTTACCAATCCCTATGTTCCCAAGTATAGTTGCACTAGCTCCAATAAACACACCATCACCTATTTTGGGATGGGGATCACCTATTTCCTTCATTGAACCTCCCAAAGTAACACCTTGTAAAGCAGAATGCCATAAAATGAATATAATGAATATCTTGTGTCATACTCTCTTTGATCACTATTATGAGGCATTTTTTTCGAGTATCGTGTTCAAAAATATAAAGCATTTTAGGTCTTTCAAGATGCAAATAATAAGATTTTTCCAAAAATACCCTTAATTGGAAGTGTAATTGATAAGATTTCTTAATTAAAACGCTCTATTAAATAAGGATAAACTATAATTTTAAAGACAATTAACTAACTTATTAAAAGGTATAATTCAATTAAAGATGTCTTATAATACTGAATAAAGGGAGTAGAGCCATTTCTATAAATGACAAGAAATTCTGAATGATTTTATATTACTTCAGAAACTCAGCTATTTTCCTCTTCTGTCAACATGAGAAATCTTGATATATTTTAAGAGATTAGATCCATGCTAATTTACTAAAGATAATTGAAGTCTATAAAAGAACAAGCTAAAATAATCTTTAATTAAAGAAACATACTCACGTGCATCAATGAAACTCTCTTTCTAATGATAGCAGTTTCACCAATAACCACGCCTGTCCCATGATCTAATAAAATTCCCTCCCCAATTTTTGCAGCTATATAGAAAACTAGAAAAAGGTAAACAGCAATGATAACAACATCCTAAGTGTCTTCAATATCTTGAAAAGAGAGATGCAAGCACCCTTCAAGAGATAACTCAAGTAATCAGCAGTCTAGCAAGAAAAAGAAAAGGGGAAAAAAGAGAGAGAGAGAGAGAGGAAATCCATTCCTCTATGTCATTAAAAGATCGAGACTCTATTTCATAACATCTCTGTTTTGCTTTTTTTTAAAAAAAAAAATGATACCTTGCAATCACAACATGGGTTTTTTTTTTCCCCCTAAGATTCAGTTAAAATTCAATGCAAAAATTTCCACAAGATATATTCTCCCAATACATTGAAGGAATTTCATTGAGTCAGATTGTTTCTATTTAAATCATCAAGTGATTGCATGAAAAAATGAAATCAGCCTGCCCGCCAGAATGTATATCTACTCCAAAAACCTGCAGCCAAAAAATGGCATCTTGGATCAGAAAAAGAAATATGAAACGGCCTTATATATGTTGTGCCAATTTCAATGAAATAGAAACCCACCTCACTGACTCGACTTTGCAAAGCTGAGGCCAAGACTTGGCATCCCTGGCCCCACAATGCATGGGCTACTCGATGAACTTGCAGAGAACAATAGCCTTGTTAAAGCATAACATAGAAAGTCAAGAGTAAGCCCCAAGAATAAGGAGGAATTGGTTCTTTATTTAAAGAATAAAAGAAAATAAATATGATGGGTCCAACCCTCCTACAGCAATATAACTTATATGTACGGAGAACAAATTAGGAAATGTGAGTTAGTCTGTTAGAGAAGAAAAGGAGAAGATTTTGTGAATAGCAAATAAGTCGTTTGCTAAAGAGGGAGGAAAGTAACGAGAATTTCAGTGTGTTTTGTAGGAGAGCCTAGCCTGTCGAAAACTAGAGTGTTGCTGTGTTGTTTTGCATTCCATGTGAATGTTCTGAGCTATATCAGCAATATAACATCAGAGAGTCTATCATCATCTCTTTCTTTTTGTTCCATTGAGTACAATTTCTTTTAGGTTCCACTATTTGGCATCAAAGTCAGGCTTTGATTCTGGGACCTATAAGTTATGGGCCCACCACACTTCCGCTACATAGGGAATATACTCTCTAATGCTATATTACTAATACAACTCAGAACAATCACAAGGAATGCAAAATACTCTAGCCTTTGAGAGGCTAAACTCTCCCACAAACCACTCTAAAATTCCTGTTACCTCCCTCCATCTTCACCACAAGAGTTATTTGCTATTCATAGAATCTTCTCTCTCTCCTCTTACAGACAAGCACACATTTCTTAATTTGTCCTTCCCATCACTATTGGACCTGGTTGACCCAATTCCCCCTTACTTTTCCTAACATAAGTCGTAGTGGGCTTGGACCCATCACAAAGTTTGTCTCATGAAACAGATTTGTAGCTTCGTAAGTTGCATCTTGTAAAGAATATACTTTGACTTAAAATCAATAATGTCACAGGAAAATCATACAGGTATATATACTGATGATAACTCTATCAAAAGCAGAAGGATTCACCTTCATATATAAAAGCGCGAAGCAATATGATAAACAAGCAGGATCCCAGTCTATAAATGCCTGCAGAAGGAATAGCTCCACACGTCAATCAAATCTGATTACAAGAAAATCCACATTTATATATAGAAAAACCTCAATCAGATGCTTCAAAACATGAAAAGATAACATAAAAATACCTGCAGATCCAGGCGAATTGATCTCTGGATACCTTTATCATGCATCATCACATCAAAAAATATTTCCGTCAGCTGAGTTGCCAAAAGAGTAGGATTTTGGAGACGATTGGCAAGAACGAAGGCTAAGGCTTGCTCCAAGCGATCATGAGATAAAATGTTGGCATACAAAAAGCTATTTAAAATTGGCTCCTTTTCTGCCTGCACAATATATACTAATCAGGATGCATAAAGACAGAGATACTCCGACAGTCACCAAATATGCAAAACAAAGCATCCAACTAAACATATTTGATCATAACAAGTGCACGCAGGGAATTTATGAATTTCCCAATGTTTCAAATAAATAAAATATTGGCAGTACAATTGACCGATCCCACTCCCCATGAAAAGAAAAACACTCGAGATGATGCTTACTTTCCAAACATATAGGAAAATATTTGTTGCAAAATAGTCGTGCAACATGTTTCGAACCACTCGTACAGTGCGAGTTACTCTCTAATATGCGGCTTTGCGCCACTGCCGTTCACACAAGTGCTTGGAAGACTAGAAGCAATTAGAATGTTTATCAAACTGTACCAGGTAAACTCTACATCGATCGCCGCTAGAATCGCTCCCTTTTATGCAGGTGATTCCATCGAGCGTTGAGACGTAACGCAGCGGTTTTTTTTTTTTTTTTTGTCTCCTTCATTCCCCCCGGACGGGATGCACGGAAAATCCTAAAACCCAATGGAATAACGTAGTGAAGAGTCCAAGCAAATCCTCTGGTTTTAAAACCATTTTTCAATGGAACAGATGAATCAGAAACTGCAACCAACAAATACAAGCGAGGCAGAAGAAAAGACAAGCACAAACGCCCAGTTTCAGCGCACCTCCAACTTAGCTTCTTGTTTGACAGCGTCCCAAATCAGGTCAGCCCCACCTGAATGATCTACGTAAGAAGCCAGAACAGAGTCGTAATCTGGATTGGGAATATCCATGGCATAGACAGGAAAACCTCTCTCCAAGCGATACGCCGAATACAAGAAATCGTAGCTGTTGGGTTCGTCAGTCATGTTTTGGAGCTCTTGCCCACCAAGAGGGAGACACCTTGATACCGTTGAGGGGAGAGGAGTATAGCTATCGTCGCTCACGCAAGCCATGCAAGCAGATAGGGAGAAAGATAAGAAGAACTGTCACATGCGAGAACTTGAGGAGCGAGAGGTGAGACTGGGGAATTGTCGGTGGTGAGAGGAAGGAGAAGGAGAAGGAGGGTGGTGGTGTCAACTGTTAAGAGTAGCAAGTGGTGTGGTGCAGCGTTTGCAGCCGTAACTGATGCTCTCGTTTGGGAGAAAAAGCAAGAATAATAGTAAGGGGTAGGAGAGCAAGACTGTCCATGAAACAAGAAAGCGAGGGAAATTGCCACTCTGAATGGTTCAGGAGGTAGGGCTGCGCCTAAGCACTTGAAGAAAGCAAGGGGACGGCATTAAATTCACCGTTTCTTCCTTTCTTTTAGATGCGATGGGACGAGACAATAGGACAACAACTGATAAACCGAGAGCGCCTATGGCATAATCTGTGTCATCATCAGTAAGGGTGTTCACAGGATGGGACGGGACCGGGACACCCCGTCCCGTATCCCGTTCCGAGAAAAAAATCGGGACTGAATTTTGGTCCCGTGTCCCGTCCCGTCCCGAAAGTCGTCCCATTCCGTTAAGAGTCGGGACGGGACCGGGACAAGATCGGGACGTCCCGCCGTCTCGATAAATAGAATAATATCGAAAAAAGATCTGGATAATAACATTCATTAAAATTTTAAATCATATAATTTATTAAGTTTAAAATCAAAACAACACAAGTACATAAATAACAATAATTTAAAATCAATTATTGAATCATATTAATCATAACTACACATTATAATAATAAACACAAATGATCTTTATACTATAAGATTAGTAACAATAGACAAGTCAAACATAACATCAAATCATTGTTCTTCTACTTTAGTGAAGATGTACTAAGCTAATTACTCTTCTAAAAATAAGCAAAAAAATATGTTGTAAATAAAAGTTATTAAATAGATATATATAAGAATAAATTATATTAATATAATTAATATATTATAAAGAAAGATATCATCATGTTTACTCCATGCCATTAAATTTATCAATATAAAAAAACTTTAGTTTTAAATAAGAATTGTAAGTATTAAAATTATAATTGATATAAGTATAAATTATATTAATATAATTAATATATTTAAAATAAAAAATAATATATATAATATTCGGGACGGGACGGGACGTCCCGATAGTAATCCCGTGTCCCGTCCCGTCCCGAACCTCTTTCCTGTCCCGTCCCGTAAAGTCCCGTCCCGATTATTTTCGGGCCGGGACAAGACCCGTCCCGATATGATCGGGACGATACCGGGCCAATCGGGACGGGTCCGGACTGAACATCCCTAATCATCAGTATCCCCGTCAATCAAATATCATATATATATATATATATATATATATATATATCAATCGTCCATCTACATATCATGTAAGGTGGAGATAAATCATGTCCTTAATAGTAATCTACAGTCTAATTTATTTTAAATCTGACCAAATTTATTTATTAAATAGGCTTATATCAAATTTAAATTTTTAATTAAACTTAATTAGTTAAATACATTAGACTTAGTCTACTATTACAACAGGCCGACTTCTTTACATACATGTATAATATAATATGTCACAAATTTTATCATTTGAATTTTAATCAAGCTATTTTTTTAGTTGTTTTTAATTATACTAGACTTGTATATTAATTTTAATATCGTTACTTTATTATTATATTATATTATAATTTGTAAATCCTTTCAATTAATAAATCAAATTATATATTATATATTATAATAGTTTTAAAGTATATTTGAGATGTTTAAAATTAAAATACAAACATATTAAAAAGATTTATTTTTAAGTAAGATTTTAATAGACTTTCAAACTATATCAAGCTTTAGGTGGATTCAAACCTTAAATTTATCGCACAAGGTTCTATTTAGTTAAAACCTAACTTGACCTAACATATTTTCACCCCCATCATGTATGCAAAGTTGTAAGAGTATTTTTTTTTTTTTAACAATTTGAATAGTATAGTAATGCTAGCTCTGATGACATAGTAGGATCAGCTTCCACTGATTGCAAATGATAATGGATTACATTATTCAACTAATTAGATATAACTGTGTGAGAAATCAAAAATGTGGGATTGAGACTGTTTAATCCTTGTTATGTCTGGTTGACGATAAAAAAATTGATCTTTTTTTAAGTGATCAAACCTTCTCCAATCGAGAGGAAACAAAGGCTTGATAATAAAATTATTCTTATTTTAAAGGAAAAATAGTAATCAAAGATCTCTATATGACATTTATATCAGTTGAAAATTAGTTATTGTTAGAACCCAAATGGATACTTGTTGAATCGGTTAATTTTTTATCAATAAATATATATTCAAATTTTAACAACAACTAATTTTAAAATAATAACAATCTATTCGAGCTTGTTTTTCATTCAGGTTTGGACAATAATTTATCTTTAATTAATATAAATTTTATATAGAGGTTCTTGACTGCTATTTTTCCTATTTAAAAATTTTCATGTCCTTATAAATGTAGAAAATGTTAATTTCATTTTTTGGAACCCAGTCCAATTGTTATATAAAAAATCATTTTTTATTTTAATTTAAAAAAAATTAAAAAATTTTCCAATTGTTAAATTTAAAAACAATATGATTTAATTTTTTAAAGAAATATACTGTGAGTTCAGATGCGAAAACTAAAGTAACATACATGCACTCTTAGTAAATGAACATCAAGAAGAACAAATTAAAGATTAGATGTCATGTTTCTTAAAGAGATAATTAGGATGTGATTTAATTATTAATGAGTTTTAAAAAAATTTCAAATTTTAGTTCAGTCCAAGAGGATTAAAATGAAAATAATTTTAACAATAAAAGATCAAAGTACTATTCACTTATTAATTTTCTCTCAAATATAGAATCATTAGTTGTCAATTTTTTTGCTTCACCTGTTAATTTACCAATATAAGTTATAAATTACATGACTTGACCTGTTAATAATCAGACAAGTCTTGAACATCAGTTGTTCAATCATTTTGTCAGACAAGTAGTAATATCAGTTGTTAATCTACTAATAGTAAATTAATAAGTAAAGTTAGTAAATTAATAACTAATGTTTTAATAAATTAACAAGTAAAGTTAGCAAATTAATAGCTAATATTATTGCTTGTTTGACAAACTGATGTTCAAGATTTGTGTGATTATTGACAGGTCAAATCATGTAATTTACAATTCATATTAATAAATTAACAAATGAATCAAGAAAATTAATAACTAATGATTCTACATATAAAACAAAATTAACAAATGAACAGTACTTTTATCTTTTTATCATTAAAATAGTTTTTACTTCAATTCTCTTAAATTGAACTAAAATTTTAGACTTTGTTGGACTCGTTAATAAAATCATATTATTGGTCCTTAGTTGAACTCATGGGTGGCACTACATTTATGCTTGGCTTGGAGAAAATTATAAAGAAATTCCATGTATTTCAATATTTTGCACCCCTTGTCCAAATATTTTGCATCCCTTGATTAAACTTTAAAGATTTTTAGTTCAAAATTCTTTTAATTATTAATTTTAAAAATGTTACACGCTATAGCCTAAGATCTTGGCACCACCATTGGTTGAACTTCTTCCTTTTTTAAATGCAAAAGCTTATAACAAATACATTCATATTAGACGTTTCAAATTTGCTTCAACTTCAATTAGTTTTTTTACCTTTTACACCTCCAATGATTCCATTTTCTTTAGTTTTAGTTTTGGATTAAAGGGTATTACTCAAGAACATTTGATATTACAAACTTAGGTCCTATAAAATTGAAAAGAAAAAAAAGAAAGGAATGAAATAAGTTGATAAAAAAAACAAAATGAACAAAAATAAATATGCAAAATGGTAGAAAGGTGATGATGATAGATACACGAAACCCTTGGGGTGATAAAAGGAGTGGGAACGCGAATTGACATGAATAAGGTCACGAATTTACATTCTCACTTGTCCGTCACTTTATCATCCTCACCTCTTTATAATTCCCATCTGTCCATCATTCTATAACCTTATTTTTATCTATTTTATTTTTCATCAATACATCTTATTTACTTTGAACAATCAAAAGAATCTTGCATGTGGTAAATTTTTTTTAATATTTAAAAATAGTGCATCAAGCGCCTTACTATTAAAAAATTAATTTTAATCATTAATTAATTTAAAAAATTACAAAAAAAATCTCAAAATTATAAAAAGATACTAATAAAATTATAAACAAGTATTCTATAAAAAAGTAATATAATTTAAGTTTATAAAATAGTCTGGTAATTTATAAATATTTTTATAAGATTTAGGCATCCTCAAAAATTTATCTCCAGCATAAAATACATGTTCATTTATAAATAATAAATATCCTAATTAAGTTGTAAATTTTTTAAAAAAATGCATTAGATCTCAAAAGTTATATTGTAAATTGTCTGCGAGACTTTGTAAATAATAATCATGACAATAATACTTAAATTATTACATATCATTATTAAAATAAATCTAATATTTTTCTCGCATTGTTTATCCATGAATTACTAATGGTTAATTAAATTGGTTTAGTCAGAATCATATTTTGATATTTTACATGAATAATAAATAACATTTGTATTCTAATATTTATATATAACTTAGAAGACTTAATTGATATTAATTTTTTTCATATGTTATTTTTATATAATTTTTTTGGTCAATTTCTTTAATTTTTTGATGCCTTTTTCTTAGGTCATTTTTAAAAATTGAAGGAAAAAATTGATTAATATAATCAATTTTAAATATAATTGGATATGAATTACAGCGTTGAGGAATAGTAGTTAAGGTGTGTTTTAATTTTAGTTGAGTATAATTAATTATAAAAAATTAATTAATATAATTAATTTTGAATATAATTGATTATGTTATGAGGTCTATAATTGATTTATAAAATTAATTTTAAGTTTAGTCAAAAAAAATAAAATTGATTTTAATCATAATTAAAAATTAAGTAAAATCATGATTTTGTGAAAGTATATCCAGATATCCCTGTTACATGTTAAAATTAATTATAAATCCAAAATAATGTTTTTCAAAAAAATCTAAACACCCATTATATATGTTAAAATTAATTATGAATTTAAAACCATGATTTTTTAAGCATATCCAAACACCTTCATATATGCCAAAATTAATTATAAAACTAAAACCATAGTTATCTCATAAGCTTTTCAATTCATTTTTTCAATTATATTTTTCTAAAAATTTATCCAAAAATTATATAAATTATTTTATAAATTATATTTTTTGGTTTATAATTGATGTTGATGTATATAAAGGTGTTTGAATATTTAAAAAAAATATTGTTTTGGGTTCAAAAT